ATATATATATATATAATTCACATTGAATTATTTAAAAATCCAGTTTTAACCGGTATAGGTTAAAGGTATTTCTAAGTTTATCGCGTTTATTTTTTTATTTTGAAGATAACGTTAATATGAACACATTGTACAAATATTGTAATAACAACAATTTTATGATCAATTGTAAAATGATGAAATAACAAGCAATTAATCATTAATTTCGAAATTATTATCATACGCAAATCCATTTAGATTAGGCAAATATTCGAGATAAAGTAAACGTTAGTGGCAAAACTAATCAATTTCGTAATTTTTTTGAATTAGTTTTCTAGTTGCCGCGCAATCTTTTTCTTCTGAGTGATGTACACGTGCTGATTTTGCGACTGAGATTTTGCTTCTTTTTTGATTAATTTTGTGTATCATTCTGTAAATGTAGAAAATTTATACACACAGATAAAGGTATCAAACGCACACAAGCGAGAAATTCCTATTAATCATTGAAGACTGATTTCTAATTGGACGATAAAAAATTCCTATTACCCTGATTTTTAAATATATTTATGTTAAAAGATTCCTTCGTAAATTGTTCCTCTTCATTGAAAAATCTTCATAGGAAGACGAGATTATTCTATAAACATTCGTATTTTAATATTTGTAGTGAAACGCTTAACTTTTTCCGTGTGTCATTCTGTTCTGAATCTATGTTGAAGCAAAAAAATGTTTATATTTACGATCTTAAAGTGTAGAAGAATGTTTTTATTTGGCGACTGAATGTGGAACGTTCCCGATTTTTTAAAAAAAAGAGACATTAAAAATGTTGCGAATATTGAACAGTTATAAACATTGGATTCACAGGAGAGACATAATTCCTCCTTAGAGTTTCCTTTTTTAAAAATTTATAACAAAATGTTATATGTTTAATATTTCTAAAATGCTTAATCACAATTTTGATAGTTCAAAATATTTATTAATTTAAAAAACTTTTAAGAATATTTATACTATTGAAAATATAGATTCCATTATACTTTTTTTATATTAATGTAATTTTAAATAAAATGTTTTGTGAGTTATACATTTTTTAAATAATATACTTTTACAATGTAATAATTTAAATAATAATTTTTAATATTCTATCTTTTCATATTTGATCTTCAAAAAATTTTGCGGCGCTAATGATCTCCCTTTGACAGATTTCTAGATCTATTTCCGCCAATGATTGTGGAAGTTAATTTTGTTGAAAAATGACAATAATAGATATTTCTGCTTATATTATTTTCTCTTTTTTTTTTATTCCATTTATTCTGTAGACGGTTTTAAGGGTGACATCGTGCTCTGGTGTAAACTGTTGCTGCCTGGCGCCGTGAAGAGAATTTACAATCTACAGAGCAAACAACTGATAAAGTTATTCGCGCGGTTGCTGCTCCAGGACGAGGACGCGATGCTGGAGCATTTGGAACAAGGCGACGTAGCCGAGACGATCAGTGTGTTCTTTGAAAATAGCGCTGCCGCATCGCCTTGCGCCGCAAGCGTATTGACTATCCAAGATGTAAGTCGGCATAATTTCGCGAATTTCGAAGATGAGAACAAAGCACAGTGAGAAACCGGTGAACTAAATAAAAAGAAATTAGAATAATAAGATAAAATGATTAAAAAGAAATTAAAATAAATAAATTGTATTAATTATTAAAATAATTAAAATTAATTTTTCTTACCGTTCTCATATTAAAACGAATTTATTTGTCGGTATAATTTATTTGAAAAAATACAACACGCGCAGAGCAAGTTGAGCCTCATGTCTTTACAGTCTATTTGATAAAAGCGTAACCGATTTATATACATTTATAAATATTGACATATCCGTGTCTTATCACCGTTCGGAAGATTATCAATATTATTTGTCGTTTTTTTTTCCACTTGTTTATAAACATCTTAGACCTTTTGATGTAACATGATATCTTCGGTCTTTTCGAGTGCGAAATAAAATAATTCCGAATCTTCTCGATATTCATCGTTAAATAAGTCATTCTTTAATAAAATCGCACAGTAACTAAGACTCTCTGAAGTTAAGGAAGTTGTAAGGTAAATGCAATGTGTTAAGGAGATCCTAAAGCCATTTGTATTATCGACTGAATCATATAAGTTTTTTATAACAAATACTTTTTCTCTTTCACAGATTCGAAAATCCTTTTTCAAGATTAAAGTATACGCATTAATACATGTTTGTGAAGTGGAGTTTATGCCGAGAACGACCAAAAATTTCGAAATTGATATATTTTTTACTATTTCTTAGTGTAATGGCATTTCAAGCTATCGTTTACTTGATACGAAAGTTTTGCAACTTGTATTTACGAAATAGTAATTCACAAACACATACTTTTCATGAACAAATAACGTCGAATTCTTAGAATTAGATTTAGATGTTTTATCGTGACGAATTTGTTATGTTACGAAAATTGACACAAACGTACGATTGCATGTATCAGTACGGAATTGTCCTTTTGGAACATTGTTTGGAACAACTAGAACAATCTATGACAATAATTAATTGTTGTTCAATTATTAAAAAAAGGAGTGCTGGATAAGAAAATGTTTTTTTGTTTTCTGCTATTTCTGTTCATCATACGAAATTGCCCTTTTGGAACAATGTTTGGAACAATTAGAATCTGTAGCGAGAAGAAATTGTTTGATTTTCAAAAAAGGGGGATTAGCAAAAAAAATCGTTTTTTCCATTTTATTGGAGAACGATTTGGAATAAGATAATATCGCTTGGGAATAATATAGAACAAACACTCTGGAACACTCTGGAACAATTGTCAAAATTTTAATTTTCAAAAAAAGGGAGGCTAATTTCACACACATTTAGCCTCACACAGATTTACCCTCATTTTGAGTTCTATAATGACTAACCGACCAACGTTCTACCGACTGAAAATGATTGGATTTGGTCTCTCATATTATTCTGCGAAAGAAACATCTATATATACTTTATTTTTTTGTGGTCGTTGAAAAATTATAAACAATTTTTTGCTTAAAAAATCTAAACTTCGAATAAAAATTTTGAAAAAATTATGTAATTATGTTTAATTGGATCAAAATGAACATTTTTTGTCTCTTAGATTTGTTTTAAAGCAGTAATTTTCGAGATAAAAAAATGTGAAAACTTGAAAAATGACTACTTTTATAATTTTTTTCCTTGTAAACTAATCATCCAATCAGTGCGAATAAACAACGAAAATATTTGGTCAATTTTAACTAACACGAAAATTTTATTTTATTTTGATCTGTACTGTTATTGACAGTGAAAACGTTATTATAATAATGTTATTATAATAATAAAAGCGCGTCTGCAACGCGTGAGCGTATTTGCATGCATGAGTTCGCGCAAATTTTATTGATATTTTACAATTAAACCAACAATATCCAGAGATAAAAATAATAATACTTACCAATAATTAAAAAAATCAATTTTAATAAAAAAAATAATGTACACGCCACTTTGAGGGGATAGAAGGGGAACAAAAAAGTCATATAATATAACAATTTGAGATATTCGCTGTAGTTTTTAAACAAAAAAATAAAACATCTAAGCCAATGCGTGACGATGCCACGCGGTGCGAATCCTATAGGAAAAGATTATATAGTCTTTCAATAGAGACGCTCATGTTGTTAAAGTGACATCTGTCAAATTTATTGTGAATTGTTTAGTAGTGTATGGCAAATCACCATGGAAGGTTATAGTATTGAGCAACATGTGCAAATCAAAAAATTTTATTATCAAAATCAGTGCTCCGTTCGAGAAACATTACGCGCGTTCCGCGCATTACATGATTTTTATCCTCGCCACAACCGTTCTGCCGAGTCGACTATTCGATGTTTGGTGGTCAAATTCGAGTCAACCAGTTCGATAAATAATCAGCCAATACCAGTACATCGCCGAAACGCAAGGTCTGCTGAAAACATTGTTGCTGTGTGTGAGAGTGTACGGGAAAATCCGAGGCGGTCAATTTCTCGTCGTTCACAAGAACTTGGTCTTTCTGCGACTTCAACTTGGCGAATTTTGCGTCGGGACTTGGATCTGCACCCCTATAAAATTCAACTGACCCAGGACCTTAAGGTAAATGACCATAGACAACGCCGTGTATTCGCTGATTTCTGGGTTCTGGAGCAGTTGAAAATTAACCCAAATTTCGTCAAACAAATCATCTTTAGCGATGAGGCCCATTTTTGGATGAATGGATATGTGAACAAGCAAAATTGTCGAATTTGGAACGATACCAATCCACACGAGATACACCAGCTCCAAATGCATCTCAAGAAAGTCACTGTTTGATGCGGATTCTGGCGGAATCATCGATCCGTACTTCTTCTAAAACGAAGCGGGCGTTGCCATAACCGTCAACGGCGAGCGCTACAGATCGATGATAAGCAACTTCTTGTGCCTAAAATGGATGATATGGATACCGATAACATGTGGTTCCAATCGGATGGCGCTACGTGCCACACACCGCATGCCATGATGGACATTCTGCACGAGCGATTTGAGGACATGGTTATTATCTCGCGCGGCGGCGATGTGAACGGCCACCGAGATCGTGCGATTAACGCCTTTAGACTTTTTTCTTTGGGGCTATCTTAAATCGCAGGTCTATACGAATAAATCGCAAACAATTGATGCTCTCAAAGTCAACATAACAAACGTCATCCAGCAAATTCAGCTAGATTTATGCGAGAAAGTCATCGAAAATTGGACCGCCCGAATACGTGCTAAGCGAAGCCGCGGCGGATATTTGAGCGACGTTATATTCCATACTTACTGCCATAAAATATTCTTTCAAATAAAAAAAAAATTGAGTGGATGTCTCACACACAACTTGTTTTATTTACATTTAAAAATCGAGCGTACTTATTGAAAGATCCTATATTTTCCTTTTTTTTTACTTGTTCGTTCCACATGTTGCAGATTGATGTTTTAAAATTCTGATAAACCTTTGTTCAAAGCACCGCCAAGGTACTTCTATTTTTAGGACTACATCACTGACTGAATGAGTATGAAAAAATATTAGCAAAAACGAAACCCGCATGAACTCGTGCATGTAATTATACCCTCGGCGCGCTACGCCGTCGCGTCGAGAGTCACTCACGCGCTGCGGACACGTTTTTATTATAATAACGTTTTCACTGTCAATAACAGTACAGATCAAAATAAAATAAAATTCTCGTTATAGTTTAAGATTGATTGAAAATTTTCGCATTTGAATTGAAAATTTTTTTATTCGCACTGATTGGATGATTAGTTTGCGAAAAAAAAAAATCATAAAGATAATCATTTTCAAGTTTTGACATTTTTTATCTGGAAAACTACTGCTTTAAAAAAAAAGTCTAAGAAACAAAAAATGTTCATTTTGATCCAATTAAACTTACGTAATTTTTTCAGAATTTTTATTCGAAGTTTAGATATTTTAAATAAAAAATTGTTTATAACTTTTCAACGATCATTTAAAAAAATAAAGTGTATATAAATGTTTTTTTCTCAAAATAATATAAGGAATCGAATCAAATCATTTTCAGTCAGTAGAACATTGATCAGTCGGCGCATTTTCTAAGCGACTTTTTTGGGGATCGCTCGCCTATTAAGAATTATTTGAAAAAAATTACAGATTATTTTAAATTGCATTTAAAAAGTAATACAAAAAAATTAGAGACAATTGACCATCTGGATCAAAAGTTATTTCAATAAAAAGTAATATTTTTTAAATTTGCACTCTAATAGAAATACGAAATATGAAAATGTATTATAAAATAATGATAAAATCTCAGTTTTTTTATATAAGTACTTTATGAATTCAAAAATATTTATATAAAGTTACATTGAGATGCAGACATTAATTGTTCAGTTAAACAAAATATAATAAACAAAATATTTATTTGTTATAAACTAATTGGTGAATCTCAATGAAACTTGCATCATTTTCAATACTTAAAATATTTATATATTATAAAAATTTAGATTTTTGTTATTATTTAAAAAATTTTTGTTTATAACAATAAAACTAATATCAAATAAAATAAATAACTGTAATAAAAAATGTGTTGCTCAATACAAAGAATGTTATAAACACAACTTTCACGTGTATGTAGTTTGATTAAAGCGTAAATATATGTGTTTTATGTCCTTATAATATATTACTTTAAATACGAAGCG